TACAGTGGGTAAATATTATCCGATGCTTTATGAGAAAACTTGGCCTTCATACCTTCAATTTGAGACCTCAATCATAAAAATTGGTCGGGTAGAAGAGCCAAACGAACTCGTAAAAAAATTAAACTCCCATAAAAAATACATTGGAAGCAAATTTCGTTAACGTGTAAGCCGAGTTGGATTATAGATAAATAAATGCCAATGTTTGATGGCAAATCTGTGCGTACATACCTTCAATTTGAGACCTCAATCATGAAAATCGGTCGGGTAGAAGAGCCAAACGTTGGAAAGAAAAAACCAAGTTTTTTAATATAAGATTTCCTTCAAAATTAAAGTTTCAAAAAAACTTAAAAAAAATCCTGGAAGTACTAGGGATTGGTATCCACATACCAAGATTCATAAAAATGGGATTTAACAAGTGATCTTTATCTCTGTACACATCTACACAGACATCACTTCGAAATCCACTTTTTTTGAGTTCGGAGGGACCCAAAAAAGATATACTCCCAAATCTTAAACTTGGAAATTTTGTTCACTTTGTGATATATTACTGTTAGAACAATGTAGTGAAATACAAATTTTCCTGAGGTAGTGGCTGTCACCAATCACGTTTTAGGGCTATAAGTACCTGATTATAATATTTAGTAAAAATCCTTCCGCTGGATTTTGAGATATATATTACAGACAAACAAACATACTTAGCTCGTATTATAGTATAGGATGTGTATCTCATCACTCCAGACAAGTTTTGAATATTGTAGTTAACCTTTACTAAGCTGGAAATCTAGTCCAATTGAGCAAATTTCATCAATCAAGTGGACAGTACACACATCACATCACTGATTGAATTTATTTTCAACACTTAACACTGTTATTTTTTGTGTTAAGAAGAATCTCCTAAGCAAGACTTATTTAACAACATAAATGGTGTATTGCAGGTATTCCAATGATGGATGTGTATTCTAGGACTTTAAAAAGTTTAGCCACGCAAGTAACATACAAACATTCTAACTGTTCTGCGGAACAGTTAAAACTTCAGTGCCTGCAGCGACTTTTCCGTCAAGATAGAAATTTTAATTAAGTTCCAATCATTAGTAATGGGTGTTTTATGATTCCACAGACATCGGTATTACAAAATATTTAAGAGCAAAAAAGTTTAGAAAAATGTGTGAACAAAATAGAATAGCTGGTTATTAAATTTTCAGATATACAGGGTGTCCCGTAAGTAAACAGCAAAACCCCGGAAATGGTTATATGGGTCAAAATAGAGAAAATCAAGAAAATAAAATTTTTCCCTAAATTGCTTCGTTAACCATATTCGCCATTTTGTATTTTTTACATAAACAATTTAATTTTTTTTATTATTTCAACCCATCTTTATAAAACTTGGTATGTAGGCTAAAGTAGAAAAGACCCATGTTAGAAAAAAATAGCATATTGATCCACAAAATGGCAGCCATTTTAATTTTTTAAACTTAAATTACTCAAAAACGGCAAATTTTATGAAAAAATGCCAAGAACACTTTTATTTAGCATTTTTAATTCTCTTTCACATAATATCAAGTTCAAAAATATCAAATAAGAAATGGCTGAAATATTACGATTTTTAGTTGTAAAATGGAGCAAAACTGACTAGCTTCTGCCTTATTCTACCCCATTTTACAACAAAAAATCGTAAAATAATCTGGAAAAAAAATTTGTGTGGAATGAAGGAGAAGACTTGATGTAGCCAGAGCGGACTTAAGGTGATGCGGGGCCCTGAGCAAACATTCAGAGCACGGCCTGTTACAACTAAAAAAAAGTAGGATTCCAACTGTACCAACTAATAAAAATAAAAATATAAAAATAAATTGGTACCATATTCTTATACTGCCCCTCTTCAACCAATTACCATATATAAGTTGCTCATATAGCATATCTTTCTAAAAAAATTAACTATCAAATAACATAATACAGGGAGCGGCAAAATGATCTGACGGTTTTCTTTGCCGCCCTGTCGAGCGAATGAGTGGCGTAGGGTGGTGGGAATAGGGGCGTTACAAAGCCAACGTGTGAGAATTTTTAGTAGCCAGGGAGCCGTGGGATAGCTGAGTAACATGTATTTGTTGTAGAAGTGTTTTTAAAAGTGGAAATTCCTGTGTAGCTGTTCAGTACACGTTTCAATGTGGGTCCAAGGGGAGAAGTCCCAGCTCAAAAAACCATTTTGCTGTAAGTAGGTAACTTCAGAACTACTAGTTCAGCATTAAAAAGAAGCCAACAGGCTGTCCAAGTCCAAGGTCAGCCCGGACGCCAGAGAACGCTGAGAGAGTAAAAGCTGTGGAAGTTAGTCCTCAGTGGCCTAAACGTTAAGCTGCAGCTCTGTACTTGTCTGGCCGCTCGGTAGAAGAGTATTACAGTACGACCTGAATTTCCATTCATACAAAATGGCAATTGTGCAACAGTTGAAACCCAGTGGTTATGCAAAGTGCATCTCTTTTTCAGAACAAGTAGTGATTGATTTTCTTACATGTAACAACAATTTCATTATGAGCGACGAATCACACTTTCAACCACAACATACAGTCTTCCTCACTCTCTTTAGTTTCACACCACGTAGTCAGATTTTAGTTTCAATGCTGAACTAGTAGATCTAAAGTTACCCACCCACAGCAAAATGGTGTTTCGAGTTGGGACTTAACTTCTCTGACTCACATTGAAACGTGTACTGAACAGCTACACAGGAATTTCCACTTTTAAAAACACTTCTACTACAAATACATGTTTCTCAGCTATCCCACGGCTCCATGGCTACTAAAAATGTCCACACGTTGGCTTTGTAACGCCCCTATTCCCACCACCCTACGCCACTCATTCGCTCGACAGGGCGGCAAAGAAAACCGTCATATCATTTTGCCGCTCCCTGTATTATTAAAAAATTATATTTTTATTTAGAGCCTTGGTGTTGTTTTTTTATTGTTACATGCCTTGGTTATGCTTTAAAATAAAAGCCTAGCTAGAGTGGCCTAGCATGAAATAATAGTTTTGAGAGGATATGACTTAATCCAAGTATTTTTTTAATCTTACTATACTAATATTATAAATCTGAAAGTTTGTGAGTTTGTGTGTATGTTTGTGTGTATGTTTGTGTGTGTGTTTGTGTGTGTGTTGCTCAATCACGCATAAACTACTGGACGGATTGGGCTGAAATTTGGCATGATGATAGCTCACATTCCCGATTAACATTAAAGCATATTCTTATCTCAAAAACCCTTTCGGGCTCCGCCCCATTGGTTCTGTAGTTCCCCATGTTAATCTTATGATTTTTCATATTTAAAAGGAATTAATGAATCTTAACAGCTGTTTCAATTAAACAAGTTGGTTCTGTTCTATGATGTTCAATAGCATAAAAGTTACAAGGATTACCAACAGGGTGCAGCACTATTATTTTAATTTTTTAATTTATGACAACAGCTAATTTTCAACCAAAAGGTGAGTGAGCGTAGCGAACGAACTTCAACCTGGAGGCGAGTTAGCGTAGCGAACGAGCTAACCTGAAGGCAAGTGAGCGCAGCGAACGAGCTCCAACCCAAAGGTGAGTGAGCGTAGCGAACGAACTTCAACCAGGGCATAAATGAGCCATGCGAATACTTATGAAGTTAAACGGGGCGAAGCCCGCGGGTACAGCTAGTGATTAATAATGTTAAAACGTTGGTCTGTTAAAACATCCGTGATAATTTCCCGCGATTTCAGGAACATTCATGATCATCTCTAGCCAGTGATATAAATTACATTCAGAGGTCTATAGAAGAACGTCAATTATCCAAAGCCCAGCCATCCAAAACATCCGTTAAACGAAAGGCCTATTACTGATTTTGCCACAACCGCCACCTGTGTAGCACAGACCGCAAGATCAATTATCAATTAATTATTTAATATATGGGGATGCCACCTAAGTGTGTATTTTAACCCAAATATGAGTGAAGGATGAGTGTAGATATTGTGAGATGATCTGTGTACTGACTAAGATCAGCTGGTTCATCAGTCAGAATCATTTACCAATGATTAGGAACAGCTGGGTCCTGGGTATTTACTCAGGGGAGGTATAGAAGAGGCTACGAAGACAGCTGTGGGCTTCTTATTAGCTGAGGGAACGCCATTACCGTAACAAAACGGTCGATAGCCATCGGCTTCGGTGGTCTAATGGATAGCGTATCGGGCTGATATACTGCAGGTCCCAGGTTCGAATCCCGCCGGTAGCATTAACTTTTAGTTCAAGATTTTTTTTATTTTCAGCAAGTTTGGTTGGTTTGGTTTGGTTATTACAGTTTAATTTTATTATTAAGTCATTATAAAATTTTAATTGAGCAATTTCTAGTTTTATTTTATAAACAGAATTATTTTTCCGATTACTATAAACTTTTGTTATATTATTTCTTTATCAGCAAGTTTGGTTAGTTCGGTTAGGTTATGATAGTTAAATTTTATAATTTAAAATTAATAAAATTGAATTTTAGGCATTTATAATTTTATTTTATGAACAGAACTATTTTTGCGATTAGTAAACCTTCATTGCCAAAGTGCTCTCTACTACAGCGCTGTTCACGGAGGAATTTTGAACTAAATGCCTCATTTGTACCTCCCCTAAGTCAGACCCTGGGTCCTGTGTCCAACCATCAAAATTCAAAACGAGATAGGAAAGCTATGCTCACAGGTCTTACTACAACGGCATGAGAGAATCAAAATCAGTAAATAATATCTGAAGAAACGAATTTAATAGGAATCAATCAAAGTTAAAAAATGTATTCTATTTTTACTGTCAATGACAAATTATATGAAAAAATCTGTTATACAGTATGTGCATCCCCAAACCCCAATTGCTTCCAAAAATTGACTCCCAACTGTACTTCTCAACATAACTTTTTTTTTACTTGGCGAGCGCAAGGAAAAATTTGAAATTCTTTAATGACTTTATGTTTGCTTATTAAACCCAGTAGCTCATAAAGAGGAGGAACAAAAACAAATCATTAGACCAATAATGTTTATTTATTTTCCAGATGTTTATTCAATTTTCAAACTGTTGTAACTTAGACCAGCCGAAATAAAAGATAAGATTGTATTGACACAAATTTGCTAATTTTAATCCAGTACCTACCTGGGCCACAAAGAGAAAGAATAGCCTACATTGAAGACAAAGATAAAGGTGTATTGACAAAAAGATCGCTAATTTGAACTCAATAGCTCACAAAGAGGAAGAATGAAACCAAATATAACCCAATTATATTTATTTCACCAGCCAAATTCGATGGAACACTCACTACTGCCCTTGTTGTTTGGACCAGTCAACGTTGAGGATGAGGTGATCATATCCGTGGCCGTTGAGAGACATGATGGCCTTCGCAGCGTCGGCTCTGTTCCTGAAGTGGATGTACGCAAAGCCTTTGCACAATCCGGTAGTCTTGTCCTTAGCCAGGTACAGCTTGCTGATTGGTCCGAACGGCTTCACGAGATCCTCCAAGTCAGCGTCCTGCGTACTGTCCGACAGGTTCGACACTCTAATTGCCAAAGCGTCGTCTCTGTTCCCCTTCATACTCTGGCCGCTCTTGTTCCCACCGTCTCTCATAGAAGGAATGACGTATTTGCTGGTCACTGGCTTCTTATCGTCAGCCGCAGCAGGTGCGGCAGGGGTCGACATCTTCTTGTCGTCTGCCTTCATTCCCTGGATGTTCATGTCCTTGAACGGACACTTGAGGGTCCAATGGTCTCCGTTGCAGTTACGGCATTTCACCACACCCTTCTCTCCCATGTCTGTCAACAACAGTTGTATTGAAGTTTTAAGGTTTTTACGTTTGAATTTCATCATTTCCATTTATATCAAGGGAAGATTTATTAAGCTGATTATTTTACCATCTAACCATGGAAACATTCTTTAACAGTTTAAAAGTCAGAAAAAAAGGAAGCGGAATCATTCTGTATTAAAGGCCTACTTCATTCAACCTTAACTACCCATAATCATAGACATAATGGATTTTTCAGGTATGACACGTGACCCTTTCTTAGACTTAACGACTGATTAATAACTACAGTTGGTAGAAACTGTTATAGAAAATAAAGGGGGCAAGGCCATTTTGGATAACCTAATTAGGCCTACTGTTTAAAAAAACGTGATTAGCTTGTTCTAAATAAGGTTATAAGCCTTGATAAAGTTAACTTATAAGTTTAGGTTAACAGCAGATTTAATTAACCAAAGCATTGTTTACTCTGTTTATAAAATACAATGTATGTTCACCATGCAGCTGTATTGGCCTATTATTTTATTTTTAGTCTTGCAGTTTAGTTTATTCTAGAATTTGTTCTTGAAACACAAAGACTTTTGAGTGTCATCATTGAATTTTAGTGTGAAAGAACTTACTTTTCAACTTATCCATTGGGTCTTCCTCTGGTTTGTCCTGGTCCTCCTTGTTAGTGATGAACTGCATGTAAACGTCTTCCCCGAAGAACGTAGTCGCAGGGTCAGGACCTGGCTTGTCGTTGGCCGCAGCACCAAACTTCTTCAGAGCCTTGCGTTGAGCGATCGTCTTGGACACCACTCGCCGCTCTATACGGTACTGACGGACAATTTTCACCTGCGGGCAGACCAAAGTTAAAACACTACTGCGACTTGTATTGCCAAAAACAAAGTAGGCTACGGTTACACCTGACTAGAATTTTTTTGTTAGGATGTTTTAAATGTTGAACTGGCGATACATAAGGTGATTTTTGGCAAGCTACATCCCAACTCAGTTACCCCAAGACTGATTTCTGCAATGAATCTGAAAAGTCACCCATTATAGTCAAACTCAATTGGTATAGCATATATGTATAGTTTGTCGTAATGTAGCAAAAATTGCTTTTTAAATTTAGTAGCCTACATGAAATGCAGGACTAACATACGTTCATTCCATCCCTAGGGTGGAAAAACAATTAGCTGGACTTAAAGAAATGAACTGTAGCCTAATAGCCTACATTTCTGCCACACACAAATTTAGACCTTTGTTGAAGGAAATTATTTGATTAACACATAAATTATTTTAAAATTATAAAAAATGTATCTTCTGGTATGTTTATCATTGTGTTGCATTGTATAATCCACTACAATAAATACTCTGTTATGTCTAACTTACTTCTAAGATTGTGCGCAGGACATCATTAATTGTGGTGAGACTTTCAATGGATGATAAATTCAGCCTACTCAGTTAAACTTTAATGAATGTTTAAAACTTTGATCTTATGAATCTGTATTTACATCTAAGTAAACAGTATAATATTAGCAGAGAGATAGTAAGTACCCTAGTATCAATGTGTTCTGTAAACAAATAAAGATAAAAGTTTATTATTGTGGAGATGAAGAGGTCAAACTCAAAGGGACAACTTCCTTCAACATGATTGTACACAGGATGAATTGGTCATAAATAATACTACTGTGGAAATATTGCTGATCCTTCATTTGCTGAATCTCATTCCATACTCCAGTAAAGGTATTGACTTCCGTATTGGAATGTATAAATAAAGATCTTACTACTGTACAAAAATTATTCCATAAAAGTGTGGTCATTCTCATTCTATACACGATTTAACCTTCACCATGTAGTATGGATATAAGGGTAAATAGTTTATTATCCTAAGTGGAAACATCAAGTTTATTGCCATGAAGGTTGGGTCACCCTGTTCTCGCAATCATCAAGAAGGGGCTTAACCCTTTCCGGACAGCCTATAGTATGTAAACAGATAGCAAAATTACTTTATTTGAATGGAAACTAAAACCTATCTTTTTTTCTATCTAGCCTATAATTTAGCTTACCTATGCAGCACGTTTGTCTAAAATATTTTTTTATCCATTTATCAATTTTTTTGTCTTATTTTGTTACATTAAAAAAATGTTTTGTTTATCAAAACTATTTTTCTTCAGGAAAAACATTCCTGGTACATCAGTTAAAAATACAGTATAAATTAAGTTAATTGAACAAAAGGATCTTTTTACAAAAATTAATGTTGTAGATAATCAACTATAGGTAACAATAGATGTTGTAATAATTGGCGGATATATCCGCCCACTGTCTGCGGAGCCAAAATAGATAGGCGAATATATCCGCCTACTGTTCGCTATGAACAAAATGCTAGCGGATATATCCGCCTAGAGTCCGGGAAGGGTTAAGCATATTTATATACAATATTTCTGTAACTGAAAATATCGGGAGCGAGCTGGTTTAGTGGTAGATTGCGGGACTTTGGTCCGTGAGGTCCCGGGTTCAAATCCCACCAAATCAACAATGGATTTTATCTAAGTGATAATGTCGCAACCCAAAAACAATTAACATCTACATTCTACACTGATAGTCAAGTAACCTTAAAAAGCACTAAACTCTTGTGAATTCAATTCAAGGCTCATGTGGGATTGTCTTGCAACTGTGTCTGAATTGGGTAGGAGGAATGATCTTACGCTTTGCTGGGTGCCTGGACACTCTCACTCAGGCATTGAAGGAAATGAAGCCGTAGACAGATTGGCAAATGCTGCCTCAGCGGCAACAATGATTGGCCCACAACCCTTTAAACTGTATAGTATAGAACGAAATAGCGTGTGCACCTCTTTTGTCTCATGGCCCAATGAAAGGCACAGAAAACGTTGAGTTGAAACTCCCCTTCTTAGGGTTAGCAAGCTTACTCAGTGTTAAGGCCTACCAAACGGCTTGCCTCTGACTTTTTGAGACTAACAGCCGGAGAATTAAATTAACATCGGAACTGATAACTGGCCATGAGCGATTCAGGAAACATTTACAACAAAATGGGCTTGTTTGATGGTGAACCGATCTGTAGGCATTGTGGTAGGTCAGAGGAGACAGCCGATCACCTGCTTTTTGATTGTGAAAAGCTCCCCGATAACTCTTGGCAATTAGGTAAGAGACAGTTACCATCCTGAGGAGAAATTAATTGGAAGACTACAGAATTTCATCGGATGTCTGAATCTGTAGGGCCTATCAATAACAAGCTGCCTGGGGTGCGCTATAATTTGACTTTTTGGATGAAACTCTTTATGGTCTCGGCCTATCCCTGTTAGATAAGAAGATAAGATGCCGCAACCTCTAGGTCTGGCCTGAGGTAGGGTAACGTGAAAAAATAATTTCGGGATTGTGCCTAGTGTCCTAGGATGAAAAAAACAAACAAAACTCTTCAAATATAATTCAACTACAAAAAAGTTCTATAGCTCGTTACTAAGTAAGGGTCATATACGGGACTAAGGGTTCAATACATTCTATAACTACACAAATTCTGTACAACATCTCTGAGAAATTTGAAATGCTATAGCCTAATATTGGGTAGGTACCCAATAAGTTATGTTGGACTAATAATTGGTTTTGCATTACCTTTTATTTGTTCCAAAAGTAACCTTTGTCAACGTGTTACATGTTTCGGCGAGCTGCTGTTGTGAAACACTTCATTACAGGAATATACAATAATTCCGCTTGAATAGCTTCGTTCTCAATACACATTACACGACAAACAATATTTACACACTTTATATAAATAAATACTTTTAGTTTGATAGGCCTACAACATTGCCGGTACAAGAGCGGGAACAGACAGTCGGTAACGGCAATGTTACCTATACTCGTAATAGGCCTATAAAACCCATTATTTATATATGTCATGCGTGTCTTGTGTAAATGTTGTTTGTCGTATAGGCCTAATGTGTAATGATAACGAAACTATTCAAGCGGAATTATTGTATATTCCTGTAATGAAGTGATTGACAATGGCAGCTTGCCGAAACATGTAACACGTTGACGAAGGTTACTTTTGGAACCGATAAAAAGTAATGTAAAACCAAATATTATATAGGCTATTAGCCTACAGTTCCAGGGCTACAACAATTAATTTTAATGATATTGGACTGTACAGTAAGTTAAAATAGGCTTAATTACAAAATATTAATACCGTACCTAAGTTTACTACAAAGTTGGTGTAAAAGAGCAAACCTTTTTGTTATCATCATTGTATTTGTACTCGGTGATGATTTTATATCCATTCTGGATAGTTTCAGTAGGTGGAGGTAAAGCACCTCCTTCTTCTTCCACTTCATCGGCCCAACTTGACTTAACCTCCTCTGCCACTGGCATTCTGAAAATAATCAAAATTTTTGCCAAATAAGTACCTAAAAATTTTAGAATATTACTAGTGATAGGCCTACAACCACCATTAGAATAACATTATTTTAGAGGCCATTCAAGTTAATTTCTTTCCAAAAGCAATGATTCAGTTAACCCTCCAAGTGTCCATACTGTAGTAATGGTATTAATGTCTGCCCATTTATTGCGCAATTGCAGGGTTTTATTAAAATGTATCTTAGAAACTTAAAAACAATGTAAAGTAACAGTGTAAAGTTTTATATATCATTTTGTTTGGGAAATTATGGGCTTCAATGCAATACAAAAAACATTACAAAAAAATTTTTCAACAATTTTTGTGGGGATAACATTTCTCAAAAATTATAAAATAAATAAAAAAAATTATGTTTGCGCTCAATAAATTTTTATAATTTATAAGTCTACAAATATTTTAAAATAGCCACTTTGTTCTAAATTTTATAAGGATTACAAAAATATAATAATATAAGGTAAGTAAATTTGCAAATAAATAAGTTATGGGTGAAAAACAGATTTCGTACCGTACATTTAGCATTAGCAAAGAATGCATAGCCTATCCATAGCTAGGAATCTGGCCGACAATGTACATCAATATCACTACCTACTTCTTCAGGATCATCAACCAGCCCTTCAAAATCACTTAAATCTTCTTATAATGCACTAGTTAAAAAAACGTATATCACTACTTTTTTATTTTTAACACTAAAACAATGATAAACATAATAAAACACATCAGTCATCGGTGTGAGGTTAACCAAGTTGTTTACAAATACGCACGTCAGCTGTCTGCTACAATATTTTCAGAACTAAAATGAAAAGCGTCTAGAAACAGACATCAGGAGAAAGCTTGGAATCTGCCGAAAACAACGATACCAATCTCGATCCAGTTCAATCTGATTCAGTCAGTCCCAGAGCCTTCGCCATAAACGATGTTTGTGTGTCGCAAGAGCGACGCATAACTCCACGGCGGGTGTGTTGTGCGTCGATTACGCGACGCTTAACACTCTGAGGGTTAAGTAGCCTAATTTAGAGTTTCAAAATAGCCAGTTGGAATCATAAGAATGCTCGGTCCCTATTGGACCTAGTTTGTATTGAAGTTCTAGGGTCTATTTAAGATACTTAAGCTAAGCGTCGAATCAGATAAGGACTAGGCATAATTTTAATACCGACTGGTATTCAATAGCCTAATGTTATCCAATAAGGTAGGCTACCGTACATGATTGGCTGCAATCTGATAATATATCGTAGGCTCTATCCGGCACTGCGCAGCCATAGGCCTATTATTGGATGTGCCTATGACACCTTTGCTTTACAATTTAATAGCCTAGGCAATTTTTTTTTATAAGGTTAGACATAAGTTAGGCCTTCAGAGCAGACCCAAGTTAGGTTTGAATGAGTAAATGAAAAGTTTCTTAATCAAGCTTACTTAATTCTATTACTGCACTAATATGATAGGCCATTTTTGAATTAAGGTAACCTTTCTCCTACATCATCTTTCATGTATTTTCGCCTTTATCTTGTCCAGGGTTAGTTCTGAAGATTTGTTGATAAGCCTTAACTTACCTAGGCTTTTAGTCATCACAGGCTGCACTTTACTTTAGATCCTACACTCATTTGAATTAAAATATTGATTAATCGATATATCGGTCGATATTTTCATTTGAATGAGTGTAGGACCTAAAGTAAAGTGCAGCCTCATCACATTTAAATCTTAGTCTATAGTGTGTTAAGTTAAGGTTTGGTAGGCCTAAGGTAACATCGCTTGTATGGTAGCCAAAATTAGCCTGTTACCCAAAGTTTTTCAAAACATGAAATAGGCTATCACAGTCTACTGAGATAGAGCAATATAGGCTATGTTTTCCTACTGTGAAAGGATAGGATTCAATATCGAACAAAGCGAAAGCAAAACTACTGTAGGCCTAGCCTACGTGTTTTGACTGACATCTGTCAAATATATATGACCGTAGAGTAGACCCAAATTTACAAAGAAAAGGTTACTAGTATATATTTATTGAAACATACACACTATTGATGCATAAAAAGATTAAAACTTACCTGATTAACGCGTGTAAGTAAAAAAAGTCAAGCTTGACAGAAAGAAAAACTAAAAACAGATCTAAAGTTTTAGGTTATGAGCAATTATCATCACACGCGAACGCGACAGAAAGAGTGAGAATGAAAAGAAGAAGAAAAAAAAAGGAAGAAAGATGAGAGATTACACTTTTTTCCTTGCTTATACTGTACGTTTGTGCAGATGGAATGCTTAAGCGTCATTGTTTGATTAACCATGTTCATAGATTAAATACGTCCATTGATGGATTTATTATCATTATAGTCAAACCAATAGACTCCTCACCCTATTGTACAAATTTTTTTTAAAAAATAGCTTAGATAATATTTTGAGTTTATTTTCGTGTCTAGTTCATGTTGGAGACCCATGGCACTATAGTATCGATGAAATTTTGTTTCGATTGAAATTTTTATTATTTTAGGATTAATTTAATGATTTTTTGTTATACTGTTTGGTTATATAACTAGAGGATAAGTTATTGCTTATGTTTATAGTTTTATTTGGCTAATATGGGTTTTTAAGAACTGAAATAACAAGGTTGAAATCGTAAAGAAAAACACGATCCTTACACAGCACCAAATGGAACTAGCAATCACATTAAAATGATTATTAATGGTTATGGTAGGCTGAACCATAAGGATGACACATCCTTTGAGGGTTATAACCTATAGTTTCAAAAATTTGAATTTTATAGTAGATTTACCTTTTTTGTTGCCTGAGTTCTTGACGTTCTTGTTATGAGACGTTTTCGCCCTACTCTTTTTTCTCCACCTTTGTGTGGCTTCTTCAGGGATCTTCCACTCAATACTACTGTATTTACAAAAATTATTTACACACGCCGGTCACTCGTATCTTGGTAGAATTGATTGGACCACACGACGGAGGGACACGCGGACGGCGGAGTCACGGCAGGTCTTTCTCCCTCCATTTCATTTCTTGGAGTCCAAAGGGTGGACAAATCTTTGTGCACCTTTAATTTTATATGCATATCAACCTTCAGTCTTATGTACTTAGAATTATTTAAAAAATGTTCTTTTGACACCTATCGGGCCATCCCTATGAGGAGGTAGCATCCCTGAATAATGTGTTACAAAATAGTTTTGTAAACCGTACTGAATTACTTTGCCAAGCTTTTTAGCTCCAACTTGATTATTTGTTGAAATGTTTAACTGTCTCGAGACTTTTTTCCACCCTGTAGGCTTGTAGGCTATATATGTATGTATCTTAGCACGATAACACGCGAACAATAATTTAATCATCCGATTTTGTGAGAAATTCCGTAAAAGGTGTAAACCTACGTTTATTCAAACAAGTTTGCGAAACAGCATGATCGGACCATGGGAACAGAGTTTTATGGGGTAAATAATGGTTTTTTGCATTTTTGGCCCTCAAAACACAAAATTTCCCAATTTCTCTCTAGATCTTTAAAGAAATGTAAAAAAACTAATAAATTACAGTAGAACATTATTGTAGGGTAAGGATAGTAGAGTTTTGTAGGGTAAAAATTGGTTATTCTAATTTTTGAATCTCAAATTAGATATACGAATTCCCAAGTTGGTGATTTTAGTATGTTGGTTTTGGGAAAAATTCAAACATTTTAAATTTAAAATTTACATGTTTTGGAGAATATAATAACAACTGTTGTAGTTTGCTTGCTTGGATATATTTTGAACAAACGTGGTATTTTTAACTTTAAACTAATCAAGCTATATTCATATTTTCCAAAAAAATACACTTTTACCCTCGCTGTAGCAGTAAACCTAGGTAACTTACTCGTTAAACCCCATGTTATTTAAATACTTTTAAGTGAAATATATGCAATGAGGCAAATGGAAACTCGCTCAGCCTGTAGGTTTGCTGAGGCTGGGGTATTTTTAAAAGTTAGTATAGTATATAGTAAACGAGGATCGAGCTCTGGTCTAGTGGTTAGAGCGTGGAACTTCTGTCTCTGAGGTCCCTGGTTCAAATCCTGCCAAATCACCAATGGGCTTTATCTAGCGAGCAAGGGAATACCATTGGTATTTCTTGTTCTCTGATTTTGTTTCAGTGGTAAATGCCGCAACCCGTTGGTCTAGCCTGAACTAATGTGAAAAAAATCCCAGGCTCGTGCCTCAGATTTGTTGTTTTTTATGTAATTATCTCCGTAATATCTAAAATAACTCTTCAGTGTACAAAGTTAGTTTTTAAAGCTCTACACATTGTTGAAATCAAAATCATGCATTATTATTTGTTAAGGGTAAATCTTGAAAATAACAGGGTTTTTTTCAAAACCCCATTACATCCAGGTCCCATGATCCGATCATGCTGGTTAGCAGAAATGATCATTAAAATGTATATAACAACCTTACATGTTCATGCCAAATGTCATGAAATCTTACCAGAGTATTACTTGAATTATCAGGTTCAAGGATATTAAAAAAATTGTTTTTTCACTCTCACGTTCTGAATTAATATCTAGAAAAACTCTAATGGCTTGGTAGTTAGAGCTTACTGTACCGGTATATCTTATTAAGATGCCAGTCCTCAAAGAATATTCAAATCAACATCTTGAATTAAGAATTAAAAGTTTTATTTTCACACAACACTTTATACTACCTAAGTACCGTAGTGTATAGCATAGCAATTTTGGAAGAACAATTAGGGCTGCTCAGTGAATGGGGCTGGTCAAAATTACAAATATTTTCATCCCCGTTGAGTAAACTATTAGGTACTTAATTGCCATAATCATTTTCATTTTGTGTTTCTACCCAATTTGTATGAAACAAAGTATTTTTTTGAATAACCAAAAATAAATTGAGATTTTTAGGTATCATACAAACAAGCAGATATATTTTCTAGGTAGTGAAAAGGATTGGAGATTTCAGGCAATTGGTGGTGTGTACAATCAAACTCTTAACAAAAAACAAATACACCAACAATAACGGCATTTCAATTTGAACAGGGAAAACTATAAATTCAAAACAAAGCAGCACATTAAATATAAAACAAAAATACTGTATAGAAAAAGAACTTTAAAAACTGATGTTATCTTTTACTGGCATAACTTTACACCGCAATCCTGCAACACGACAACACTTCAAAAGGATCTGTTATTTGGTGTTACGTCAGTAAAACCGAAAGGAAATAAATCAAAATAAGAATTATCAATGGCTGTAAACTTAAGGAAGAGATAAATATAACAATAAAGATCTAAATGTTGTATCTGAAGAGGACTTGTCACTGATATGTTATCTATCAGTTTTACTCATGTAAACTTCAAGTTAGTTATTTACCATGTCATCGCAAGTATGTACTAACCCTGATGGTAAATGTAAGTATACGTTTTCTCCCACATCTGGGTTTCATTCACAAATTATTCACATAAGGAAACTTGTAAGCACAACAATGTGTAAAATGAAGTGACAATTGGGGTAAACATATTTTCTTACAAAGTTAACTACTAAGATGGTAATTAATGTGTTACAAAGCTACACAAGGAATCACACTCCATTCTACACTTCAGTCTTTGAGTTAAAATATGCACATAGGTGGCGTCCCCATCTCAAATAAAAATGATATGAATAACATATTACGAATCTTGGTACCTTGGATTGTCACATAATTTTCAATGTTAAAAGAGAAAATAACAAAAAGAGATTATTCATATAAATATGAAGACATTCTTGAAAATGAGAAGTCGGCTTTATTTAAGACGTAATTTAGAGAAACGTTGAGCAACTGAAAATTATTTGATTACCTATGTAATAGGTATATGGATTGTCACCTAATTTTCAATGTTAAAAGAGAACATAACAAAAAGAGATTATTCATATAAATATGAAGACATTTTTAAAAAGGAGAAGTCGGCTTTATTTCAGACGTAATTTAGAGAAACGTTGAGCAACTGAAAATTATTTGATTACATATGTAATAGTTAATAGCTTGTAACCTCTTTGTAGGGCAATGACTCTCTGATTGATTATAGTTCTTGAGGATTTCCCTAAATGTACAATTTTATCTCAAGTGTCAAGAAGTGATGAGTACAATGGTTATATGATTTGTCAGTTTCAAATGTTTCAAAGAAATTTACGTTTCCTAAAAGCTATCTATTAATTCCTTAAAAAGTTAGATAAATTTGTCATGTTGCAAACTGTTATGCTTGATTTAAGAAGGAATTTATTGGAAACAGGAAAAGAGAGAACCCGACTTTTCAATCATTTGGCCTGATAAAGATAGTCAACAAGTAAAATGGTAATCAAAAAGTGTAACTAATTTACTCAAGAAAAGAGTTCCAAGCAGTTGACAGAATAAAAAAAGTTTACAATAAATTATTTGAAATTGTATCCCCTAGAAGAGACTTCTCCAGTCTTTAGAAAAGAACTAGTATAATCAAAGTAGTAGAAATGGTTGAATGAAAAAGAATAGTTTATTCTACCATTTCCTTCTAAGGAAGCCTCTTCAACAAACAGGTTGAATTTCAAATTACACTGATCGTGTTGTGGACTTTTTGTGCTCTGTCTGGAACACTTTTCTGGGGCAAGTTATTGTGGTATTCAATTATCAATACCTTTTTCCTTCTTGTATTCCTAACCCAAGTGTGGTTAAATATTATTTATATCAAACTTACTTGAACCTACTTTGCCATCAATAACTATTCACTCCTCTTCCCTACTTATACCCAGTATTCATTTTCTTCTCATTAAAATAAGCTGGTTAAAAGGAGTTTATCTTAATAAACCTTTATTATTTTAGCTTTAAATGGAGCTGGTGCCAATGACTTGGAGGTTGAAGAAAAGAATGAGAAGGTATTAATCTATTTAAGCTATACTTTTTTGATTGAGAATCATACTATATAAAGTCTAAACTATAAGAATTATTATAACTGGATCACAATGTTCAAGCTAAACAAAAAAGAAGTTCTTATAGCAATAAAATGCATAGAATAAAATTTTTCTGAATTGCACGAAGTAATTTTACATCTTACATGCTTTACATTAAATAATGTTTTATAGATCATTTCAATTTTTACCTAATAAGGTGTTAAACAAGACAACAATCAATTATATATATATTAGTGTTATAAATGACAAAATAGTCCTTTGAATTCAGAGTAGCAAATA